TCGGTGGGTCCCCCAGCCCACCCCCCCTGCCGAAGCAGGGTCACCCAGAGCAGGCTGCACAGGATCTTGTCCAGGTGGGTCTTGAATATCTCCAGAGAAGGAGACTCCACAGCCTCCCTGGGCAGCCTGTTCCAGGGCTCCGTCACCCTCAGAGGGAAGAAGTTCTTCCTCATGTTCAGACGGAACTTCCTGTGCCTCAGTTTGTGCCCATTGCCCCTTGTCCTGTCGCTGGGCACCACTGAAAAGAGCTTGGCCCCATCCTCCTGACACCCACCCTGCAGATATTTGTAGGCATTTCTAAGCTTTGGCTTGTTCTGGGCCATCATTCACTCCCACTTTATGTTTTTTTAGCCCATTGGTGTGTTACTTGAAACTGATGAGGAAGAAACTTTACTAGCATTTTGTCAGTGTGTTTACAAAGCAAATACTGTTTCTTTGGAGTTTTCTTCTTCTCCTGCCTCTGTGTTCACCTCTTCCCTGAATTTAAGCTGGTTCCTCTGTCTGGGTCATTTGTTTAGATTAAAACCAGCAGAGATCCAAGTACCGACCCCTCTGGGACCACAAATAATACAGTACGTCTCCCTCATCCCTTTGCTTTCAGGCATTCGCTCTTGCTCCTTTCGAATGCCCCTCTGTGTTCTGGGTTTTTAACAAGCTCTTGATCCGTTCTCCGTACCCCAGCCTGGATCCACATAGCTCACAGTCAGAGCGAGGACCTGGCAAAGGAAACTGCTCAAAGACTTCCTGAGCATCAAAATAAATGGGCATACAGGAGGCCGGCTCGCTCTGGCCTGACGCATTTTGAAGTCGCCAGTGCCCATAGAGCTCAGCTGGGCACAGCCGCGCCCTGTGGGCAGCGGGGATGTTGGGGTGCTGGCTAGTTTGGATATTTCAGTTTTCTGAAGTGCTGAACAGTAGAAGCTGCCGAAGCCTGGCAGCTCCTGAAAGCAGATTTATTGGTTGCTAGCAGATAGGAGGAGAGTAGGAGCTGGAAATCTGTGCTTTTAACTCTCAGCGTATAAAGTGTGCTTATTCTTGCTGATGTTCAAATAACGTCTTGTTTTCTTTAGCTGTTCCATTCATGATTTTTGAAAAAAATGAAAAAGAAAAACTTTTGAAGGCTGAGAAAACTGTGGTTTAAAAAGAGATTTTGCTTTCTTCCTAGGTTAATCATCATAAAGGTTCATTATTTGAAAAATCTTTATTCTTTTTGGTGATTTAACAGTAGGAAATTCGGAGCTGGACATGGAATCCATAAACATTCAGTAAGAGAGAGTGTTTCATAAATGTATCTCTGCTATTTCCAAAAATAATACCAATTTGTTTTTAGAGGCCAAATAAAAATCACAGCTGTAGCACATCTGGAAATTGTGTGTTTCACAGCGTACGTTTTTACGCTCGCACCTCCTTCCCACATTTGAACCTGTTGTGTTTGTAGGAAGCAGCCCTATGGCCTGAGTGTCAGGGCAAATCCCGTGTCGTACTTTGGTGACACGGGCACGAGATCGGGTCTGTGTGCCCGCTTTGCAGAACGCACTGATGGAGCTCCCAGAACGCGCACCGGTGAAGCCCATCTTGGTGCCACGTCGGAGAGCGGCTCAGCTCGGTGGGGCAAGCTCTGCTCTCGGCTGGAGGAGCACGGAGCAGGTCTGCTGAAGCAGGAGAGTTTGTCCTGGAATCACGGGGGCTTAGGAGCGAGTTTTATTGTGTCCCGTAAGCGTAGAGGATTTGTAGAGGTCCGTAGCGGAAAAAGGATTCTGCTGCTCGTGGGTTTTGGAAGCGGAGCTGTGAGGAAAGCAGCTTTGCGAGGTACAAGTGGCGCATTTGAAGGGCGATCTGATGAGGGATTCGGGCGGACTCAAAGAGGAATTAGATTTTCTTGAACTTCAGTACTGAAACTCTTCACGGTGGCTCAAAGCTGCCCTCTTGAGTTCATCGGCTGCCTCCTCCTCCTCCTCCTCCTCCTGCGGAGGAGAAGTGGAGGGCTGAGTTCACAAAGCACCAGCTTTACAGAGCCCTGTTTCTGTTTGGAGGGGGCTGGCAGCTTTGAACAAGCGTCCAGCACATCCACCGTGGGTCCTGCGGCGGTTGGCTTCAAAGGGGGAGCATTTCTTTACACAGCACTTTCTCTGAACATTCTGGCTTGGCTTCTTACTTTCCACATTTTTTCGTCGTAAACCAGATATTCGCTACCTACGAGTAAACCTTGTTCTGTCTGGAAACTACGGTGTATTTCTTGGGAGCTATTGTACTATAATAATAACCATAATTAGCTTCAAAGACATGCTGTACTGGCTACATCTTAAGTACCACAAGGAATTTCACAAATCTGGAGTTTTCTGTACGTCCAGATAACTCTGTCATGTAGGGACATGCTAGCTAATAACTACTTTATACGTTTAACCTCCCTTCTTTCTTCTCCTTCTGTCTTCTTTTGCCTCCCTCCACAGCCGTATTTCACCTGCTTCCCCCGCAAAATAAGAAGGGTGGAAGAAATAAATTCACCTTTCTTATTTTTACATTCGTATGTGGAAAAGTAATTATTGTGTTTAAAATTCTTATTTGTTTGGACGGCTCACTTCTTAATTAATCCTAATCCTTTCTTTGTGCTCCTTGAATAACAATAATATCAGATTTGTCTGGAATGATTAATGCCTTGTGCTTCCTAGGTCCTCAGCCGGGTAAAGATTTATAGACCAACATTTTCTGGTTTTCTGATAGTCAAATTTTTCTTTTTCTTTTTTTCCCTCACATTTCACTCTTTGGCATTTGCTTCTATTTTTCAGGTGTAAATACTGTGACAGGTCATTCAGCATTTCCTCCAACCTCCAGCGGCACGTTCGAAACATCCATAACAAGGAGAAGCCATTCAAATGTCACCTGTGTAACCGATGCTTTGGGCAGCAGACCAACTTGGACCGACATCTGAAGAAGCACGAACACGAGAACGTTCCAGGTAGGAAGGGGCATTGCTGTGCGGTTGTCTTGGGGCACTGGAGGGAGAAGATGCTGTGGTCTGGTCTCGCTGGTCCTTGGGAAGCCGTTGTGGAAAGCACTGTTTCTTAAGGCTGAGTATCATCAGGTACCAAACCCAACTGCCAGCTCCTCGTGCAGCCAAAGGTGCATTTATCCGCAGTGCCTAGCTGTGACACCCGCGCGCACACGCGGTACTCGGCTCTGGCAGGCCCTCGTCAGGTGTTGCTGACGCCTGCCCTTTCCCAGCCCGTAGAACGGCGATGGCGATGCCGGCGTCCGGGGGGCTCTGCCCAGGGGGCCCAGCCTGGCGCTGTCAGGTCTCCGGGCACAGTGCTGCTGTGGCCATGCCAAGCTCTGCCGAGGGTGTTCAACCCTAGGTACGTGTGAAGTTCGAGAAGATAAATACTTGCCCTGAGATAAAAACTGAAGGAAGAAATTCCTGTGCTGAAGCCAACTGAGTGATTTCCCAGCCTAGGAAAAAAAAAAATAATTATGGAAAAGTTGTAGGCAAAGAGCTACGCAATGGATACTGATTCTTAAATTGTATATACCGGCCGTAAATGCTAAACATCACCCGTGTTTCCCTCTGTAGTTCAAGTCTGGAAAACCTGAGCTTCCTTTGGCAGCTTCGGTCCGTGGGATTTCTCTTAAATGTTAAACCACTGCTATTTAGTGAGAGGATTGCTGTGTAACGTTCCTCCTTCGTTGTTCCTCTGCTAATGGCTTTGACAAGACCTGATTGTTTCCCCGTTCTCTTTTCTTGTTTCTCTCGCTCAGTGAGCCAGCACTCCGGAGTCATTACAAACCACCTCGGGACCAGCGCCTCTTCCCCAAACTCGGAATCAGACAACCATGCACTTTTAGATGAAAAAGAGGATTCGTATTTCTCTGAAATCAGAAATTTTATTGCTAATAGTGAGATGAATCAAGCATCAACTTTAGCAGAGAAAAGGTAGACGAGCAAATGGAGCTATGTGGTGACATGTGTTGTTAACGCGGGTGAAAGAGCCGTCAGCCTCTGTCCTGCACTGCTTGATTTAAAATGCTCAAAAGAGAGGAATTTAACAGTTTGGAAGGAAAATGTGTTGAACTTCAAGCTCTAAGCCCAGTGTTAAGTGTTTTCAGAAGGAAATTAAAGGTAGGAGGGCTGACAGCCGGGAGCCGCTAACGGCTGGGGGACACGGGGGCAACCAGTGGGGGCAAACTCCGAGAGCAGTGCGCTGAGAGAGGGCGGGCAGGCTGGCTGCGGCGCTGGCTCCAGCGCAGTCGCCGTGAGAAAACACCATTTCTTCGCTAGATATAAATGTGATTATTGATCCGTTACCTTCTGCCGTGAAGCCAAGTGGCCTGGTCCATCACCGACCAGAGAGCAGGGATTAAGGCAGCCGGAGGCACCTGCTTTGCTGGTCTGGCAGTTTGTTTCACATCTCTCGGTATCACGAGCCTTGTTTTGACAGAGGGCTGTCTCACCTGCTGCTGTCCTGTTTGCACAAATAGCTAATTAATGCCAATGCTAAGGTTTAAGTCCCAAATGTAAGTACGAGGAATCCATGTGATGATGTGATCCACGTAAAGAACAGTGAGAAGTGTGGAACGTGCTGGTGTAACATTTCTAGTGAGGATGTGAATCTTGTCTTCTGCCACTTGGTGTCATCCTGTTGGGTTCCAGGTCCAGAGCACTGGCGATCCCATTCTCTTAATGAGATGTAAAATTGCTACTTTTGTGGAGTTTTCTAGGTCCATGTGAGCACAAACAGCAAAAGTAATACGAGAAAGGATTTAGGCTGGCTGTTAGATTACACCGTGAGGAAGCTTCCTCCTCCTGGTTGCTGGAAGGGAGGCTGTTAGAATACAGTAGCACAGAGAAGGAGGAGGAAAGCCGCTTGTCCCACAGATGTTATATAAGACATGGAAAACCATCATTTAAATCCAGACTGGACAAAATTCTAGTTTGAAAAGCATTGGGGTTGGTATATACTTCACATGCTTATTAGCCCTTAAGACACGGTGAAGACTGATTGTTTTAAATGCCTGAAACATGTAATTTTTCCTTTTCCTTGCAGTTTAAATAGTATGTAGATGTACATAAATATGTCTCCGTGTTCATACATGTGTATAAAGTTATCAGAGTCTTGTGTTGCGGTGAAAATGCAGGACTTAACACATTTGGCATCTTCTCTTTTTTTCTTTTCTTTTCTTTCTTCTTCCCCTCCTTGACCAAATATTTCAGGCCAGAAATCCCAGATATCGATGGCAATTCCCAGTGTCATGGATTAACAAATGAGAAAACAGAAGATGTGGATGATGAAGATGAAGAACTGGAAGAGGAAGATGATGACAGCCTGACAGGGAAGTCACAGGATGAAACGGTATCGCCCACCGCAGAGCCCCGAGGAGCATTTGAGGATGAAGAAGATGAAGAGCCCACATCTCTCACCATGAGCTTTGACCACACCCGAAGGTGAGGCCGGCCGTTCCCTTTGAGAAGTCAAACAGGGCTCAGACTTCTGGCCCTGTGTCGGTGGTAGACTGTGAGTGCTCTTGTTTTATTTTTCGAGCCATGTGTCATGCCTCCAGTTTGATTTAAGCATTCACTTGAGAGATTCCATCTTCACCGTGGTGGGGGACATGAAACAAGTGGACTGCAAGGAGAGGCTGTGATGAGAAATTTATCCAAAGTTTGAGAAGTTCCTGTCAGAACTGTTAGCCCAGCACAGAGAACAGCATTGTTAGGGTCCTGCAGTTCAGCGGGTGATGTCCTTTGCTCCAAAACAGGGGCCAGGGCGAGGGAAGAGGCGTGCACATCCAGTCTGGTTTGTGCTGCTCTGCCCGTTTCAGCTGTAGCAAAATGTTGTTGACTTCAAGCGGAGTTCTCAGAGCTCTGGGAAAAAAGTGAAGATTTTTTTTTCCAAGGTCTAGGCACTTTTAAAATTAAAGTTTGTTGCCCATAGTACAGGCTTAGCTTTCTTGTTGCCTCGGTTTGCCTCAGTTTCCCAGCCAGTATTTGTAACAAGTGTCCCATGACGCAAAGTAGGATTTTACTCGATTTCAGTGCATCACTATTTTCGCTGCAGCTCAAAGAGAACGCAGCAGGGTTCTTCAGACATTGCTCCAGTGTCAAACATTTCACAGAGTGGACAGCAATTGGACATCTCCCCACAGAAGACCAGAGTGAACTGTAGCCCCGCTGAATCGCAAACGCCTGTAGCGCTGCTGCTTGGTTGCGCGCAGCCATGCTCTCCACTTCTTCTTTGCTCCTTGCATTTTGTGTCGTTTCCGTGTTCGTCTGTCTGTCTGTTCACGCATGTGGCTTGTGAGACCCCCGTGGTATGTGCATGCAGGCACTGGGTTAGCAGCCCTCACGCTGGCTAGATGTGAACGGTGAGATGAGCTAACAACGGGTCAACCCCTTCCCCTGGTCATTGGTACAGGTGTGTTGAGGAGGACGAAGCCGGCCTGTTAGATTTGGAGCAGATGCCGAATTTTGGGAAGGGGCTGGATCTTCGCAAAGCAGCCGAGGAAGCATTTGAAGTTAAAGATGTGTTTAATTCCACCTTAGACTCTGAGACAATAAAACAGACTCTGTACAGGCAGGCTAAAAACCAGGTAGGTATATGACAGAACGTTTTATCTAGCTTGCCGCCAGCACCTGCGATAGGATTAGCAAGCAGCTGGCCTCCTGTAGCTGAGGTTCCTTTCCCCCTTCCAGCGAGCAGGAATTCCAACTGCAGTGCTGAATCGTATGCGAGCCGTGCCTTGGTGCAGCGATGCTGAACAGAGGAGAAACGGGGTGGGCAGCAGTTTTAGGTCACCAGATCAATCTCTCGTTTCTCCTGTGCTGTGAGAACATGCTTATGTAGAAAGAGAGAGGCATCTGTCTGTTTTTATCTGTCTGTATAAATGTTTTTATAACTATTGTTTATTTACACTTTGGGATGGGTCTTCAGTTGGTGTATACCAAGAAACTGGAGGTTTGATCTGCAGAAACAGTGATAAAGCGCTCTTGGGTTTGATTATGAAAGGTGTCATAGTAGCACTTGGAGGCCTTGCAATCCGGCAAGTCTAAAGGACTGCCTCGTGTATCTCCCCAATTTCTAAAAGAAACTGTAAAATGGAAATGTGCCCTGTGAGCTGGACCAGTGCAGACCCACCAAGAGACCTCAAAATGACATCTCAGCACCTACTGGAGTTTTGAGAAAAATCATTAAACCAGAATACTGAGCCTAGCTTTATGAAGTTCAGATCTTGATCCCTACAGAAGGGTTCTCACGAAAGAACTGTTCAGTGAAGTCACATCACCGGACCCTTCCTGGGGGATGAGGGCAGCTGTTGCCTTGGAGTCTCTTGCTAACCTTCAAGCAACAGAATTTGTCACTGAGTCTATTTTAAACGTCCAGCAAAGCAGCAGCTTAATGCAGGTGCCAAGCAGAACATGATTTTTGCTTTATTATCACCCAAAGCTTGCAAAATTCTTGTCTTGCTCCACAGTAGGTGCTGGTACTGCAGCTGGGGAAGGTCTGCTTGAGGATGGGGCACAGCTTTTTCCTGGGTGAAACTCAATTCAAACACAAGCCGCTTGCCTGCCTCTTACATGTGTGCTGTTACTAATGTGCCCAATGTCCTAACTGTTTAGGCACAGCTTGCTCTGTAAAATGTGTACTACATCGTTAGGTCCAGCCTATGCTTGGGTGGGGGGGGATATTTTTGTTTTTGAATCAGTTTTCTAGTGTACGAGATGCAGGACTGGTTACACTGAAGTTACAAGAAGTAACATAAATAATTTGAAAATAATTGGAACCGTCTCTTGTGCAGGAAATGTAGCGGTAACACAGCGTCTGCGTGAGCAGCGCGGCGCTCCTCCGTGGCCGTCGCTCCTTTAAGCAGTTGTAGAAGCGTGCGAGCCCGTAGCGCTACAAAGCTGTGCCCCTTCCAGCACGCCCCTGCAGCGCGGGGACGCGTTGACTGGACCGGTAGATCTGACTCTCAGCTTTTCAGAGGAGAGGCTGAAGTTGGGTAGCGGGGCAGCGTTGTCACCGTTACACCTGCGTGACCACGGGTGCTGCGCGTTGTGCGGGTGTCCCAGGCAGTGCGTGGTCTTTGTGGGCCTGCAGAGCACTGCGTGTGGGTGGGTGCAGCCACAGCGTCATTGCAGGGTGGGAGCAGGCGTTGCACCAGCGAATGTGGACCGGGGAGGAGGGGACACCGTGTCCTCCTCTGCGTCAGATTGTGGGTGGCAGTTACACTGGCTTTCACCTCCAGTACGGGAGGTTGCCATCTGCCTAACCCTTCACGGCGCTTCTGTGGGCTGTGAAAGGACACGAAGGTCTGTGAGACAAGTAGTCTTGGAAGAGGGAGAGCATCTGGGTCGCAGAGAAGCAAGCAGATTGTTACCAAGAAGACAGAAGTCTCGATGCATTTTTCTGAGCAGATGCTTTTAACCGTTTAAATAAATAATAAATAAGTAGTAAATCTACCTTGACAAGAACATACAAACACGCTGGTGATGCTGATGAGCGTGTCGTGCCCGTATTCCTAAAAACCTCCATGCGGGTTTCGGCAGGCAGCGGTGGGCTCAGGCCAGGCGGTCAGTCGGGATGGTGACCTGGCTGTCCCCGGGGCTGCGGCTGGCCTGGGTGCTCTGGGTATTGCTACACCGTTCCTGCGGCGTGTGACCGAGCCGAGCCGCCCGCTTGCCAGTAGGTGCACTCGTTTTAAGAACAAAACAAAGCAACTGGCTTTCTGCGTGTAGCCGCTTTCCCCTGAGAGCAGAGCCTGGAATGAAGAGTGGGTCTGTGACCAAGCGCAGAGCTGGCACAGCCTGGATTCGGTCCGGGAGAAGCCGGTGGGAATGGAGGCCTCTCCTGACCAAGCCCACCACTGCCTGTAAACTCTGTGGCCAGTGTGAGTGGTTGGAGTGGCGGGCGTCACGCTAGCGTGTGGGTGTGAATTTAGACCTGCTGGCAAGGTTCTTGGCCCGGGCCAACGGCTGCCGGCTGGCCTGCGTGTCCTGTATGGTTAGAAGATGCGGGGCTTGGCACGGTTTGGTTCAGCCTGTCCTGCGTGTCTATTCACACGTGTCCTCTGCGTTGCTCTTTTCTCTCCAGGCTTATGCAATGATGCTGTCCCTGTCCGAGAACGCTCCCCTCCACACGTCCTCCCAGAACTCGCTGGGTGCTTGGTTGGACATGGCAGGAGCAGCTTCAGAGTCGGGGAGCTTTAACCCCATCAACCACCTCTGAGAGGTCACCAAGGCACTGGCCAGAGCCCAAGCGAGGAGGCGGTGGTGCTGCAGTTACCCTAGCAAAAATCCTAGCAAGCAGAAGATGGATGAGAGGGCCTCAGGGACTCGTCTGGACTTTTGGCTGAGAAGGAAACCTGTCGCATCCAACCTACAAGTCCTGCATTTTTACCTATCCAGAGTTTTCGTTTCTAATTTATCAGAATGAACTTCTCCAAAACTGGATAACCCTGATACGGCCCTGGGATTTCACGGTCTATAGGAATAGCATGAGCAAGACACGAATTGCAACAGTGCAATCAAATCTTGGCCCCTCTGACGTTACGAATCGGTCTCCCTGAGCCAGGACAGCCTGCGTGCGAATGAGAGCTTGGCACCGTCGGTAGCACGGCCTTTCCGTCCAGCTGGGTAGTGAAGGGACGAGGAAGGAGAGCCAGGGGTGACCTATCCCTGGTGCAATTCTGGCACAGTCACTGGAGTTATACCAGGGAGGGGTAAATTCAACCCCTTTAATTGACCCCCAAAAGAATCTGAAATTCTGTGCTCCCACAGAAATCCCGTCCTGTCCTTTGCTCCCATCAGAAGGCGTCGGCACAGTGCAGAGCTGCTGGAACGCGAGGCCCCGGTGCCTGCAGCCTGCGGTGTCCCGGCGGAGGC